CGGTTTGATGGACATATATATATAATATGTTTTTTTCCAATTTTACAATTGACTCTTAACAATAATTTACAAATATTGTAATATGATATTATTGAACCCAGATTTATCACAGTATCACATCGAACGTATAGTGCTAGTGGGTTGAAAGAGAGAGTGAGTGAGAGAGAGACTTAATAGTATAACAATAGTAATGTATCTCTACATTCTTCCCCCAAAATATCCATTTGTGCTTTACTCTTCCTATGTTTTTATAAAATTCATGTTATTTTTAGAAATGTCGATAACATCTCATATTTTTCTTGTTGTCGATCTGTCATCGCTACTCTTTCTTCAGATAGCCCATTACTAAACACATCTCTGTATTCCCCACTCTTAAGTTGCTCGTAAGTTGGCGAGACGGTTGTTGTTGCAAACCATTTGTTTGTCCATTTGGGGGAGTCAATTTCTTAGTCACAGAGATATGTTCGGAGTCCAATGAAATCACACAACGTGGAGGTGATAGAAAAATAAATAAAAAAAATCGTTTTAGCACAGGGTAATATTTCTCTCGTGTTATTCTGCATGACTCAGGTGTTATTGTAGTGATATTCATGTGTTATTGTGTTCTGAGAATATTCCTGGTGTTATAATAGCACAATAACACATCAATACCATTACAATAACACATGAATAACGCGAAATAACACGGGAGGAAAATTCCCGTGTTACCGGGCTAGATCACAGGAAAACGATTTTTTTTTTTTTCTTTCAGCTCCACGTGAAGGAATTTCATTGCACTCCAAACTTATCTCTGCATCCGGAGGCCGGACGTAATAATTTTTCTTCTTAGTTCAGTCAATTGATTCGACAAATCTTTAAGCTCGATTGAATCAATCCCTTCGAGGTAAATTTTAATTAATTCTTATACCAGATTTAACTTGATCAGCTTCCGTCCACGATAGTCTGCCATAAGCGACAAGGATGCATGGGATGGCATTATTTATAATTATTTTATTTTAATTAAATACTTTATAGCGTAAAATTCAGGCATTAAAAATTAAAATTAAAAAAAAAAATTTCGGGGTCAACACGGGACTCATTTGTCCATTTCGTCGCCCAATAGTAATTAATTCTTTTCCAAAAAAAATGATAGTTAGTTTGTAAATATGGAGCCGACTTGTTCGTGTTCGACTCGTTTATATTTCGAGCTAAAAAAGTGTGTTCGTGTTCGGTTAGCTTGCTTAGAGAGCCGAACACTAGCCGTTTACGAGCAAAGTAACATTTTGACAACTTAATCATGTAGCCATCAGATGTTAAGGATTGAGGCAAGATTTAAAACATTATTTGAATCTAAGTTAATAATTTTTTATTCTATTTTATTCATTAATACTTTTAATTGATTATAAATCTTTGTACCCTTGTAGTCAATTAAATTTAAAAAAAAAATTACACATCAAAGATATATATATAATTAATTAGTAGTATTTTGAGCCGAACACGAACAAATAAATATTTGTTTCTGTTGTTTGTGTTCGGCTCGTTAACTTAGCGAACGAGCGGAACACGAGGTGTTGGCGAACAACGAGCTGTTTTGACAGTCCTATTTGTAAATATAAATATTTAGGTGTTGTATTTGTAAATACATAAGAATTGTGTGGTATTTAAATTGCATGGGTCAATCTGAACCGTCCCTTAAAAAGGTACCATAAAAAATCCAACGGTTAGTAGTAGCTAGTTAGCTTAGATTCCTCCTTGACCACCTTCAGGTCTTTCCCCAAGTAAGCAAAATTACTGACCGGGCCCACAATCCCACGGACTACCGTCTCGCAAAAAGGAGGGGGCATAATCGTCATTTACTCAGCTGCTGACGACGGTGTTTTTAGTTAACGGCGCTACTAAAGCCTCGTCCATCGAGCCGCATTGTACCGCGTTTCGTTCTTATTCTCCTCTCTGTGCTCCCCCGTCCGCCATTAGCGCCGCTCGACTCCGTATCCATAGATTCATCGAAGAAACTGTAAAAAGTTTCCCGATTTCAGGTTTTTATGCTGTTCTGCATATCTCGCTCTCCACAACGGTGTGCATTTCGTCGACGACAATGGTTTCCTTAACCGATTCACAGATCCCTTCGTCTCCGAGCCCTTGCTCTTTATCTGTCAAAATCCAGAGGTCCCATGGGCGTTCTATGCGGACTATTCGATCTAATCTGTTTCAGAGCGGACGGGATTGCTCGCCGGAGCGAGGGCCGACAGCAGCGCGGTCTGCTGCGGTGTCTGAGGTTTTGACGGATTCCGTTGTTGATTTCCGGCTAATAGAGCTCACTGCTGGTTACATGAAGTCGGAGGCTAAATCAGATAAGAGGGAAGATGCAACTGAGCTTCTCGAGCTGTCGAGGGATTTCTCCGATTTCTCTAGCTTCAACTCCGATATCTCCGGCGAGCTCCAGCGGCTGGCTTCTGTTTGTGATAGCAAATCCCCACAGAGTGTGATGGAGGGGACGGATAGTATGGAGCATGAGGCCGCCGACGCTGATGATGTTGCCTCAACTGAGATCCTCGACTTCACTTCTCCGGAGGAGGTGGAACCAGTAGTCAAATCATGTGCGGAGACACTGATGGACTCCTCTAGTCCGATTGAATCGAAGCGCACAGCAGCTGCGAAGATCCGTCTTCTCGCTAAACACCGATCCGATTTCCGCGAGCTCATCGGTCTTTCCGGCGCTATCCAGTCCTTGATCCCCTTGCTTCGAAGCACGGATCCTGCTGCGCAAGAAAATGCCGTCACAGCCCTCCTCAACCTCTCCCTTCAAGAATCAAACAAAAACCCCATCACTGACGCCGGTGCGATCAAACCTCTAGTGTACGCGCTGCGTACCGGTACGTCAACTGCAAAGCAGAACGCGGCATGCGCGCTGCTTAACCTGTCGATGATCGAGGACAACCGCATCACAATCGGGGTATGCGGTGCTATCCCTCCACTGGTTTCGCTTATGGTGAATGGTTCGAGCAGGGGGAAGAAGGACGCGTTGACGACGATGTACAAGCTGTGCTCCGCGCGGCAGAACAAGGAGCGGGCGGTGAGCGCAGGTGCTGTAGCTCCGCTTGTCGGTTTAGTTTCGGAACGAAGTGGGGGTGTCGCTGAGAAGGCGATGGTGGTGCTGAATAGCTTAGCAGCGATAGGAGAGGGAAGGGAGGCGATTGTGCAGGAAGGAGGGATTCCGGCGCTTGTGGAGGCGATTGAGGATGGTCCGGCGAAGGGGAAGGAGTTTGCTGTGCTCACTCTGCTTCAGCTCTGCGCTGATTCTGCGCGCAACCGCGGATTGCTTGTGCGGGAAGGCGCGATTCCGCCGCTTGTCGCGCTTTCGCAGTCCGGTTCCGCTCGTGCCAAACACAAGGTGCGTTTGCATTAGAGATTTTTCTCCCGCAGTTAAAACTGGAATTTTTGAATAATTTTTTTTATAGAAAAAATTTAATTTTCAGTAGATTTATTTTCTCAGAACGTCATACATTCTTTTTTAGCTTTTATATATTAACATTCCATTTTTTTTTAATCTGCACGGTATGATCTTTGAAAATTACACACATAACCCCACCATTTGGGTAATGTTATAAATCTTGAAAAGTTATGGGGCCCATTGGGAAAAAAATATTGCATAGTGCTAGTTTATTTCTTTGTTGTTCATGTGTTATATGTTATTCAGATGTTATTTTGTTCTCGTAATTTTCCTAGTGTTATACTAAACATAATAAACATCAATAACGCTTGAGTAACACACAATAACAGTGGAATAACACACAATAACACTTGAACAACACGGGATGAATATTCCATTATTTTACTAGACAAATTTTATTTATTTATTTTTTTCATCAGTACTCCGAATCAAATGAAAAAGTAAAATAACACTTGAACAACACCACGGGATGAATATTCCATTATTTTACTAGACAAATTTTATTTATTTATTTTTTTCATCAGTACTCCGAATCAAATGAAAAAGTAAGGTCACAGAAAAAAAAAATATATCAGCCCGATAACATGTGTTATTTATATGTTATTCATGTGTTGTATGTTATTCAGATGTTATTTTGTTCTCGAAATTTTCCTGGTGTTATACTAAACACAATAAAAATCAATAACACTTGAGTAACACACAATAACAGTGGAATAACACACAATAACACTTGAACAACACTGGATGAATATTTCATTCTATTACTAGACTTTTTTTTTTTTTTTTTTTTTTTTTTTTTTTTGGTTTTTTTCTTGGATTCTTTCTTCATGGAGTTGATGCAATATTTTTTGCCCGTTGGGATGTATAATTTTGTTGAAATAATTCTGACGGAATATTATTTTAGGGGTATCTTTGACATTAAAAATTTTAACTTTGTTCTTTAGTTTAAATTTGCAGTTAAAACCCTCAAATTTTTGTAATTTATAGTAATAGACGCTCACATGTGTCTGTTTTACTGTCTCGCAGGCGGAGACGCTATTGGGATATCTGCGGGAGGCGCGGGAGGAGGGCGGTGGATTGGGCGCGAACGCTCGCCGTATGCGTAGGATGTGACACGTGGCTTGTTCCCGATTGTGCTATAGTTTGGTTTATTTTGTTCCGCGGGTGTAAAGTTGGTTGGAGGGTACAGTGTGGTAGTGTAAATAAGATAATTGTGGTGGATTTGTGTGAGTTTTTTCCAGCAATGATGAGGATGGAGGCATGCAACCACCACATGATGGAATTTATGGGACGATATGGGTTGTAATGCTAACTTTATTTTAGGAAGACTTTGATTTTCTTTTTTTTTTAATGAATTTTTAATGAGGGCGGACTTAAATTGGATATTTTTTTTAAAAAAAAAATTAAATTAAATTATTTAATATTTAACCTTTTGGTTAAAATTCTAAAGAAAAAATTTGGATTAATTTTACTGATATAATAATTGGATTTAGTTAATTTTGTGTGAAAATGATTTTGAATTTGAAGTGAATTAGTGAGTATTTTAGGGTTTTAAAAGCTTTTTTAATATTTCAATAAATAATTTAATCGATTTTATGTGCTTTTTTTGTTTAGGGTTTAGAAATATTACTTTTAATGCCAAATTTATTGTTTATTTAATTGTCCCTAAAATGTTATTGGGCTAATATAATTATTGATATTGTCCTTAAAAAATCATATTGATCTGCATGAATCTCGTTATACATTTGGGTCAAAGGTTTTAAAAATCAAATTTGAAAATGTCTCTGATGAAGTGTTGCAGCGAGACAAACAAAACAAAATAGAAAATGGTTTGATATAAGTCAAAGTGAGTCTATATCATACACTTAAAATTTAAAGAGAAGTTTTAGAACATGTTGTGAAAGGTCAAATGATCTTCAAATTTGGTAAGTTAGTCAAATCAATCGTCTCGATGAGACTTATAAGAATTCAACGAGTCTAATATCCCATAATTCTGACATCATTAATGAATTCAAATACTCGTAAAATAATATGCAAATAAAGAAATCATTGGGCGGTTTGATGGACATATCAAATTCATGTAATATTTACACGGGATGTGACTTCCAAAATTTATACATAGATCCTCACTTTCTTCATGAGGGGGACCTGAACTTGGAAGAAAATGTTGAAGGGAGCTCCATGTTCTTGGGGATTTTTGAGCTTATCAACATCGAATCAAATAATCTCAAAATATGACAAGCTCATAGTTGAAACAACCGTCTTAACAAGAATTCAACGAGCCTAAGATCACTTAACTTTAACATAATTAATGCATTTAAATACTCATAAAATTATTCTAATCAAAAGAATCACTCTAGGCAACCCGATTGAGTAGTTCGAATTCATGTGATATTTATAGAGGAATGTACTACTAAAATTTATAAATAAACCTCACTCTCTTAATGAAAGGGGACATGGACTTAGAAGATAAGATTAAAGGGAGCTCCAAGCTCTTCAAGATTCCCATGTTCCACTCTTCGAATCGTCATTGTCAACAGACCAATGTTGCTCGGTCGTCGTCGCTATCATCGTCGTTGAGCCGTCGACACCGTTAGATAATCGCTATTCGGCCATCGTTGTCCAACGGTCCTGGCGACTAGTCCAGCATCAAGCTATTGTCGACACTTTTATTAGACCACTATTTCCCGGTCGCAGTCATCATTGCTAAACGAATATTTCTGCATGGACATCATCACCAACATTTTTGTAACTTCGGCGCCATCGGACCATTTCTACCTGGTTTTCTCCACCACAACCATCAAACCATCATTGCTCGATTGCCTCTGCCACCGTACAAGTGATGCATGATTGTAGTCATCGGGTTGTCATCACCGTCATCGCCCAGGGGTTGTCTCGGGGCCATCAATTTCATGTTGCCATCACGATCATGTTGTTGTGATTGTCGCCGTTGTTGCGACACACCGTCTCCATCTTTTGATCATCATCTTCCAGTTGCTGCTATGTTGGATCGTTGGTGCCTGGTCCCAGCCACTATCGTGGTATATTGTTGTTATCACTAGATCACCATGCACAACCACCACTACCATCACGGTGCACCATCATTGATAAATCACTGTCATCTGACAATACTACCAATGTTGTCGAATTATTGTTGCCTAATAATCACCACCATTGATCAAATTTTCAACACAGTGTCTGTGTCTACGCTTTCAACTCTTCTTTTGCATGCATGTGTGTTGAATTAATGTATAATGTAAGATGTTAATATATCACCCTACTACGTAACAGACACACAAATAAAAGAAAAATTGATATAATCTTGAAGTCATTATTGATCATTATCCCTTCAAAATGAGTGTTTTTTCTCCTATTTAAAACTACAATGTTTGAACTCCATAAAAAACTCTTTATTTTGGTTCACAATGAGTATGGCCAAAGAGGATGGACATTTCAAAGTTGTTTAAAATCTCAATCACTTCATTGTGGTCCAACCTCGATCATTCTTGTCCACAAAAGTCAAGATAACTATTTATGGTTGTGCCGCCAGCTTTTCTATTAATTGCACTTGTAGTATTTCTTAGCTCATTATCTATCAATGCTATAGAGCCAAGTGGAATAATACTACAAGCACAAATGAAATATTTAAATGTATGTTATCATAAATCTAATATAAAAACTTTCATGTGTCAATTCTTAGCTGTTGGGTCAAGTTTCACGCAACTTATGACTCAATCATGTCCCTCTTCAAGATATTTTGCACATGAAGTGTAGCAAGTGGATCACTAGACTTTCATGTTAGGATGAAATTTGTTGGTTTAAGGCTATTTATTAAATAGATAATCAATGTGAATAAAAATGTGAAGAATGTAAATTTAGCTAATCATTTTTTTTCAATATATTGTTATTATATGGAGCCTGATTGTGTTGACGAGTATTGATTTTAGCAAAATTGTTTATTATATACAATGCTCCAATATTAAGAAGACAACATCGCCACACCCGATATTGATTTAGAATTCGAGAGCACGATCTTCCAACGCCAAGATGCAAAGCCCCAATGTCAAAATCAACAACGCTGTAACGCACATTCCAACTATTAGAACTTGAGAGCACGACAATGTAGCGCCCTTGATGCAAGCTCCAACGCCCATTGGAGCACTTTTTTGCGACACTCTCGCGCTCGCAACTGATTTTTGGGTTGTACCTACTTGTTCTATGGTCTTTGTCAACATGATTAAGATTGGATTTTGATTTTTCTCTTGTGTAAAGAGGAGAATGAGTGCCCTAAATTATTCCAAAGTGTGGAGAAACATGAGTGTGGGGTAATATGTACAATTCTCCCCATTGTCTTCATAAATGATTTCTCAGTGGTTTTGCTCCGTGAGATTTTCCCGTCTCCGAGTTTTTCCACATTAAATATTGCGCTCTTTATATTTTTTGTTTCCCTATTGTATACACTAGAACTACAAACATGAATCTCAAAACAATCGAGCAGCCCATGATAATGGTCGAATAATCGAGGTATCAGATCAAAAAAGCACAAACAATGGTATCAGAACAGTTCATTCAACAACTGACTGTCTGGTTGAAGTCAATCGGCCTACTATGACAAAGGATTCAATCGACGAACCACACCCACAGTCTCGATGTTCTAAAAGCTTCTTATAAGGGCCCCTGATTGTAGCTAGTCGACCGACCGACCTTTTACTTCGGCAGGCGCAACTGTCATACGATCGATCACCTCAATTGACCGAACTTAAACAGATCAACTAGTTTGTTGCTGTCATATTCGAATTCAAATTATAATACATATTTGGCATATAATCAACACAATTAATCACATTAAGGGCGATTTTCATGATTGTTCTTTTCTTTCTGTAATTGTACAAATAGATCTCGATAAATAGAAGACAAAAATACGAAGATGGGGACTCTTTTGGCTCTAACTCTCAAGGCGTGTTCACAAAAAACAACTTAGGATTCAACATCTTAGAAGGTGATGTGGTTAGCATGGACAAGCCCTAGATGAAAAGCAGAGCCAACTATGAAGGAGAATATATGAAGAGAGTAATAGCGCCCATAGAGTTCAATAGAGAATTTATGTGTTGAGACATATAAGAAAAGGTTCAGGCAATGTGAACTCAAATAATGGACTGGTTCGAGGCTCTTCAAATGATCTTGATGCTGCAAAACACCCAACCATCACCAATGGAGGGAGAGTCTTGGAGAACCCACCCCCAGCCAGCACCCAACAGTTGGCCCGATGACCGACATGGACCAGAAGATTCCCAATCAATAGACAACACCGCATCTACGACGATAGTCCCACATAGGGTGGATTGAGTAGGAAAATTCGCAAGGCGGCAACCTCCTCCTACATAGCGGATACATTTGAGCCCATGGTCGACATATGGGATGATAAATCCCGCACAAAATCAACGGCATGACCTCCAAACGCTCCCACTGAAGAATCGACCATCACCGTCAAGGACTCAGTCCTCCTTGTGCGCTGCTCCATGTCCCTTGAGGAAGACAACCGCCACTTTGATTGCTCTTGTTTAAAGCCGGTGGTGGGCAAAGGGTAGGGGGTCAATGCCCTTCTGCAATGATTACTGGCAGAAGCCCCGCTTATTCAGCCTGCAGATCGACCACTACAACGGGGGAGGAGTCTGCAGCCTCCCGACCTATTTATCTGCATTGGAATAATATCAAAATTTTTTTAAAACCATCAACGACCAAGGAAAGTTTTTGCATACCCATAAATCTGTCTATAGAAGAAATGGACATAAGAGTCTTCTCACCCTCTTGCGAAAAGGTAACTCCACCATCCCGTAGTAGCGGCAGAGGAGAGACGATGATTAATGTATACACCCCAAAACAACTAACAAACTGTTAAGCTACCAAGTTGTCAAGCTCACATGTCGAGTTGCTAAGATGACAAGCTGAATTGTCAAGCTGTCGAATTGACAAATTCATCTACAAATTGCAAAGTTGTAGAGTTCAGTTACAAGGAATAGCATGACATAAAGCTGCAGATCATGATATAAAATTGCATGATATAATATAAAGACATAAAATATGACATAACATTATATAACTATATATTTATATTTTTATTTTACGTAATAGTAAAAATACAATTAAGACTTATAAATAGTGTT